CCTGCTCCCCGCACCAAGTCAGTGGTGCGTTTCGTCAGCCCGGTTCGGCCCGCTCCTGCTCCCCGCACCAAGTCAGGGGTGCGTTTCGTCAGCCCGGCTCGGGCCATTCATGCTCCCCACACCAAGCCAGTGGTGTGCGTTGTCAGTCCGGCACAGCCCGTGCCTGTTCCACTGGTGCCTGGTTCAGCACGGGTCAGCTTCTTCACGCCGGAGCTAGAGCAATCCGCTCCACCAGTGTGCAGTCCAGCTCCGGTCAGCAGGGCCAGACCGGACCAGGGGTACTTTGGGGGGTTAGAGAGCGAGTTGGGATCATGCCCGGAGCCGGATCCGCCGCCAAGGCGGAGTGCCCACCCGGTCCCTCCCCTGTGGTATTTGGTTGGCGCGGTCGGAGTCCGCGCCTTTAGGGGGGGGTACTGTCACGCCCTGGCTCTGGGGACTCTAGTATGTTGAGCCAGGGTGTGAGTTTTCATGTGTGTTGGTGCTAGTTGTTGTATATCTATGTTGGCCAGGGTGGCTCCCAATCGGAGACGGCTGTAGCTCGTTGTCTCTGATTGGGAGTCATACTTAGGTAGCCGTTAGGCATTCATTCATTGTGGTTTCTTGTTCCGTGTTGGTTCGTGTATGTAACCAGGGACGTCACGTTTTCGATTTGTTGTTTTGTTCGTGTGATCATTATATAAATAAATATGTTCGCATTCAACGCTGCGCCTTGGTCCTCCTCTCTCACCGGTGTCCTTTGACAGCTCTTTGGTCTTGGCCATAGTGGAGTTTGGAGTGTGACTGTTTGAGGTTGTGGACAGGTGTCTTTTATACTGATAACAAGTTCAAACAGGTGCTATTAATACAGGTAACGAGTGGAGGACAGAGGAGCCTCTTAAAGAAGAAGTTACAGGTCTGTGAGAGCCAGAAATCTTGCTTGTTTGTAGGTGACCAAATACTTATTTTCCACCATAATTTGCAAATAAAATCATTAAAAATCCTACAATGTGATTTTCTGGATTTTTTTCTTCTCAATTTGTCTGTCATAGTTGACGTGTACCTATGATGAAAATTACAGGCCTCTCTCATCTTTTTAAGTGGGAGAACTTGCACAATTGGTGGCTGACTAAATACTTTTTTCCCCCACTGTATCTCAGACTGTCACACCCTGGCTCTGGGACTCTATTTGTTGAGTCAGGGTGTGTTTATTCTATGTGTGATATGTCTATGTTGGGGGTTCTAGGTTGTCTGTTTCTATGTTTGCCTGTGTGACTCCCAATCAGAGGCAACGAGTGTCAGCTGTCGGCTGGTTGTCTCTGATTGGGAGCCATATTTAACTGTCTGTGTTTCACTTTATGTTTGTGGGTTTTTGTTCCGTGTCGGTATTTGTTTACCGTGGACTTCACGAGTCGTGTTTTGTTTGGTATACTTTAACTAATTAAAGTCATGTTTGTTTCACACGCTGCGCCTTGGTCTACTCACTCCTACGGCGATCGTGACAGAAAAACCCACCGTAAAAGGACCAAGCAGCGTGTCCAGGAGCAGGCAGACTGGACATGGGAGGAAGCGCCAGGAAAGGAGATGGAGAGGCTGGCGATGGCCCAGGTGGGCAAAGTGTGGTCCTGGGAGGACATGCTCGGGGGCAAGGGACCTTGGGGTAGGATTAAGGCCCTGGCGAGAGAGGAGCAGCGGCGTCAGCAGTGCCATCGTCGAACGGACGAGAGGCACCCCCAAGAATTTTTTAGGGGGGGGCACACGGCATGGGCGACTGGGCAGCAGGAGGCTGCCACAGGGCGAAATGGGAGACGAGGAGAGAAGGCCACCGGGTTACGGGAGCCATTGGCGAGAGGAGGGAAGGAAGTTGTAGAGGCACGGCGAGAGGTACTGAGGTGTATTGCCAGTCCGGTCCGGCCCGTTCCTGATCCCCGTTTAAGGCCAGTGGTGTGTGTTCCCAGTACGGTCCGGCCTGTTCCTGCTCCACGCACCAAGCCTACGGTGTGCGTCGCCAGCCCAGTCCGGCCTGTCCCTGCTCCACGCACCAAGCCTACGGTGTGCGTCGCCAGCCCTGTCCGGCCTGTCCCTGCTCCACGCACCAAGCCTACGGTGTGCGTCGACAGCCCAGCCCGGCCTGTCCCTGCTCCACGCACTAAACCTACGGTGTGCGTCGCCAGCCCAGCCCGGCCTGTTCCTGCTCCACGCACCAAGCCTACGGTGTGCGTCGCCAGCCCTGCCCGGCCTGTTCCTGCTCCACGCACCAAGCCTACGGTGTGCGTCGCCAGCCCTGTCCGGCCTGTCCCTGCTCCACGCACCAAGCCTACGGTGTGCGTCGCCAGCCCAGCCCGGCCTGTTCCTGCTCCACACACCGAGCCTACGGTGTGCGTCGCCAGCCCAGCCCGGCCTGTCCCTGATCCACGCACCAAGCCTACGGGGTGTGTCGCCAGCCCGGCCCGGCCTGTCCCTGCTCCACGCACCAAGTCTACGGTGCGCGTCGCCAGCCCGGTCCGGCCTGTTCCTGCCACTCACACCAAGTCTACGGTGCGCGTCGCCAGCCCGGCCCGGCCCGTTCCTGCCACTCGCACCAAGCCAGGGGTGCGAGTCGTCAGTCCGGCACAACCCGTGCCTGGGTCATCGGTGCGAATTCAGGTACCGCTCAACTGCTCCACTAAGGAGCTGAAGCCTACCGCTCCTGCTACGTCCAGTCCAGCTCCAGCCAGCGGGGCCAGACCGGACCAGGGGCGCTATGGGGGGTTTGTTGGAGGGTGGTGGGCAAGACCGGAGCCGGAGCCGCCGCCGAGGAGGAATGCCCACCCAGCCCTCCCCTGTTTTGCTCGTATTTAGGCGCGGTCGCAGTCCGCGCCTTTAGGGGGGGGTACTGTCACACCCTGGCTCTGGGACTCTATTTGTTGAGCCAGGGTGTGTTTATTCTATGTGTGATATGTCTATGTTGGGGGTTCTAGGTTGTCTGTTTCTATGTTTGCCTGTGTGACTCCCAATCAGAGGCAACGAGTGTCAGCTGTCGGCTGGTTGTCTCTGATTGGGAGCCATATTTAACTGTCTGTGTTTCACTTTATGTTTGTGGGTTTTTGTTCCGTGTCGGTATTTGTTTACCGTGGACTTCACGAGTCGTGTTTTGTTTGGTATACTTTAACTAATTAAAGTCATGTTTGTTTCACATGCTGCGCCTTGGTCTACTCACTCCTACGACGATCGTGACACAGACTGGCCAATAAAAAGAAAAGATTAAGATAGGCAAAAGAACACAGACACTGGACAGAGGAAGATTGGAAAAAAGTGTTATGGACAGACGAATCGAAGTTTGAGGTGTTCGGATCACAAAGAAGAACATTTGTGAGATGCAGACCAAATGAAAAGATACTGGAGGAGTGCTTGATGCCATCTGTCAAGCATGGTGGAGGCAATGTGATGGTCTGGGGGTGCTTTGGTGGTGGGAAAGTGGGAGATTTGTACAGGGTAAAAGGGATCTTGAAGAAGGAAGGCTATCACTCCATTTTGCAACGCCATGCCATTCCCTGTGGACGGCGCTTGATTGGAGCCAATTTCCTCCTACAACAGGACAATGACACAAAGCACAGCTCCAAACTATGCAAGAACTATTTAGGGAAGAAGCAATCAGCTGGTATTCTGTCTATAATGGAGTGGCCAGCACAGTCACCGGATCTCAACCCTATTGAGCTGTTGTGGGAGCAGCTTGACCGTATGGTACGTAAGAAGTGCCCATCAAGCCAAACCAAATTTGTGGGAGGTGTTTCAGGAAGCATGGGGTGAAATCTCTTCAGTCCTCTGTAGCTCAGCTGGTAGAGCACTGCGCTTGTAACGCCAAGGTAGTGGGTTCGATCCCCGGGACCACCAATACACAAAAATGTATGCACGCATGACTGTAAGTCGCTTTGGATAAAAGCGTCTGCTAAATGGCATATTATTATTATTATATTACCTCAACAAATTGACAGCTAGAATGCCAAAGGTCTGCAAGGCTGTAATTGCTGCAAATGGAGGATTCTTTGACGAAAGCAGAATTTTAAGGACACAATTATTATTTCTATTAGAAATCATTATTTCTAACCTTGTCAATGACTACATTTCCTATGCATTTAGCTATATTTCCTATTCAAACTCATTTCATGTATATTTTCATTGAAACAAGGACATTTCTAAGTGACCCCAAACTTTTGAACGGTAGTGCATATTTTTTATTTCAGACACCCCAATTTTAAGCATAAGTCTGGCATAATGGAACCAATAAAATAGTCCCTAAATCTCCAACCATGCCCAACTGGCACTGCAGGCAAGCTGAAGCAATTGCTCAAAGCATTTGAATAGCAAACAAATACTACTTGAACCCAGGTGCGGTAATAGAAAAGAACAACAGAGAGTTGCAGAGTGGCGGAGGCCCCATTATACAGGTTAGGGATGACAGACTCCTACTCGCAGTACACAAATGGACGACATGACGGGCAGACTCCTGGGAGCGAGAAAGAGAGGGCGAGGGACATGCAATACAGCACACACACAACACACACACACACACACACACAGTCTCTAGGGACAGGCAGTGTCAGCATGCATCACAACAAGCATTAATCCTGCTCAGAGATAGATAGAAAGAGAGAGGGAGGGAGAGAAAAATAAAGAAGAAGGTAGCATGGGGAGCAACCGATAAGGAGGGGAGAGGTGTCAAATACACACACACATCCAGGTGACATCCAACCAAACTTCCTTTGAGCATCCAACTAATGCCCTTTCCCGTAGCGTGTGTGGGTGTGCCTATGAGCGCACCTTCATCTGTGCATGTGTGCATGTGCCTTTGTCTGTGTGTGTTTGTTTGTGTGTGTGTGCATCTGCATGCATATGTGTGTATGTTTTTGTGTGTGCATACATGTATACGTTCGTGCTTGCACTCCTGTGTGTGTGTGTGTGTGTGTATTTGCCCATGTCTATGTGTGTCCGCCACCAGCGTGGGCGAGAACATTCTGGATGACCTGCTGTCCCGCATGGAGCAGTACGCCACCAACCTGGAGGAGGTGGTCAGCGAGCGCACCGCCCAGCTCCTGGAGGAGAAGAGGAGGGCCGAGGGCCTCCTCACCCAGATGTTGCCACGGTAACGCACCCCACACACACACTCGTCTCCTTTCGGTTTCGATGCAGATGAGTTAAGAAGGTTTGTCGATTGTAAAGGAGCAACCTTTTTTTTATCTTCTGTCTGTCTTTGTGTCTGTTTTTCTCTATTTTTTGCTCCTTTATGTGTTCATATCTGCCTCTCATTTGACTAGCAGCCTGTCTTGTGGACACTTGGGTGGGGGCGGACAACAATTGACCTTGTGTATATGAAACACCAGAGCATCATTGTCCACTTTTAGAAGCAGTGCAAAGTTCATGCAATCCCATGTTTGCGTTTGTGTCTGTCTGTCTGTGTGTGTCTGTTGTTTTGATCTGGTTTCTGTATTTATAGATCGGTGGCTGTCCAGCTGATTGCTGGTAAGACGGTGCAGGCGGAAACCTACGACTGTGTCACCATCTATTTCAGCGACATCGAAGGATTCACCGCCATGTCGGCCAATCTCACGCCAATGCAGGTAGTCAGATAACCTTGGACCTTCTGTCTCCGCACACTGAAGGGGGAACCAGATTTCGAGGGTGTATGTGTCTAAAATGGGGTTATAGGGCTCTGGTCAATGTAGTGCACTATATAGAGCGGTGGTATTCAAACTATTCAAACAGCGGAGACCTGGGGACCCAAATCTAATGACACAACCTTAAAATCTGTAAATTTCGATTTTGACATCAACAAATAACCTTCAATGCAATGCATTCTCATCTCTTATCAAAATGAAAAGAAACAATACAGGTCTATCTGTTCCTCAGTTTATCTCTATCCCATGTCCTTGACTACACGCCCAGACCAGCTGCAGGGAGCTAGAGGGGACCCTCCATGAAAAGCACAGCATTGGTAGTTAAAACATGTCGTACTATTATTAAGCATTATTGGGTTAACTATTAATATTAAACAATCAGGTAAATACTGTGATTCCCCATCATTCCCCTTTTGAGACTATAGTCTAACAAGTCTGGAATTTTAAAACAACCAGTGAAAAAAAAATGATAGAACACCTTCAATGTAACATATGACATGTTATAACCTATGAGGAACCTCACTTGGTTACTGGTCCAACCATTTACCCTCTACACATACCATATACAGTTTAAACATTGCTGCTGATATTAGGTATAACAAAGATAGTCAAGTGGATCCTTTCTCAGTAAGGAGTTTGCTCCCAGAGTACGGCTGCCCAGGAGAGAACACCTGGCAATCACAGAGTCTGGGTTTTCAGCCAATATTCCACTCCTACCGAGCCGACCCTGTGAGCAAACCTTTGTCTACAACAGGCGCAATTCTAAGTATGCAACAGGTCAAACATCACAGTCTTCAGCAGTAAAGGGTAGCTCAGCTAATCCTTCGCAACCTACATTCTGGCCCTAGGTCATGGCACATTTGGCCTTGAATTTGTTACCAGTTTTAAACACATATTGCAGCAAAACTTCAACATGAGGATGAGCAGCAAAATCAATACAATGACTAAAACATTTGCATATTCAGATTTACCCCTATGGGAACTCCCACAAGCGGTAAACCTGCTCCTACCTTAACCGGCCCCAACCCACACACCAAAAACTATTTTTGTCCAGATGTAAGATTAGCAACCATTTCTGCTCTAGAGAAGAACAAATTGTCCTCATTGTTGTGAGGGCCCAGCCGGGCTCTCTTCCGACGATGACCATCTGCTTCTGGGCCTCTACTCCGGGCCGGCGTTGGGTCCCTTTGGCTCGGGACCTTCTTCCGTCACTAGGGTCTCGGCATCCTCAGCTTCCTCATCTCTCGGTCGTCGGTTTCCATGCGGTACTCTGGTGCAGTGGTTTAGATGATACCAGGTCGAGCTCCCCTCGACCCTTACGACAGTTAGTGTAGCCTGGGTGACGGTGTAGGGTCCCTCACGTCTCTGTTCGTTCCACTTCCTTCTGAAGACCCTGACGTAGACCTTCTCCCCCGGGAACACTGGTCGTGGTGGATTCGCCTCTGGTTCTGGAACTCTGCTTCTCTCTTGTTGGTATATAACTTAATGTATAACAGTTAGTTGCCTGATATACTCTTCTAATTCCCTTTCCAACTGTTCTAGAGGTGGACCCTCATATGGTCCTCTAAGAACTGGCACTGGCATGGGTCGACCCGTAAGCATTTCATGCGGTGTTAGATGCGTTATTCTGTTAGCTTGCATATATGGAGACCAGAAACCCTGTTTTCTAAGTTGTGTTACTACCTCCCCTCTTCCACAATGATCAAACCCATTAATTACTGCTGCTTATATTCTTCATATAATTTGCATATTTACCAAAAGCCCCAGGGGACCGGTAATTCCCCCTTTGGACACATGACTCACATCGTGATTCATGCGCCCAAAAAACAAAACAACACTGCCTGTTAAATCAAAATAACAAATCAAATTGAATGATTTGTTATTTTGAATGACAACCCTTGATAACATCTTAACTTAATTGTATCCCATAACGTAATCTGTTATATCAAAAGAACAAATAAAATTAGAATGATAACCCTTGATAACATCTTAACTTAATTGTATCCCATAAGGTAATTCAAGGAATAGTAAAATTGACTAGCGACAGGTGTCCCTCATTCAGGGCTAGTTCTCTTTCTCTGTCCTTGTCATGGTCCGAATCACACATAGGACTATTGCTAAATTATAAACTTCTTCCTAATCATTAATGTTTACATATTATATTTAAATCTCACCCAATATCTCTAGGCTCTCTAGTGAGGGTGATCAGGCCTCACCAGAAAGTCAGAACAGAGGTCAGAGGGCATTCAACCCAATTAAGTGAGTGTCTCTTTCCCTTTTTCCCCCCCTGTACCTCAGACATTATTTAAAGACAGTTCAAACATCATGTGTACCAGGTTTATACTGGGTTTTTCAGTACATTTGTTTTCAGGATAATTTACATGTGTGCAACCAAAACTCTGGCAATAGAAACATCAGAAAATGTAATTGATGTGCCCTTGAGGGTGTATCATTTGTAACCTGTGAAAAATCCACTAAACCCAAAAAAAAACCACAAGAAATCAAACACGGTATTAACACCATTAACAAATATTCATAACAAGTGTGTTGTGTGTGGTTATTTGCAAACCATATGGTACAAACAAACAAAAATTGCCAGGCCTTATTTAATTCTTAGTGTATGTAAATTGCTGTCCTTTGTAAGTAAACACAAACAAGTGTCCACTTTCTTCTGCTAAAGGTACACTAAAAAGTGCTCCACATCAGTCTATTACTGAGAACTATTTTGCATCTGGTGGAACGTTTGTTAACAGTGTGTGTAGATTGGGCACCTCTGCTTGGTAGTCTTCAACTACGTCATTCACTGCTCTCAGGTCATGGACCAGTCTCCACTTCTGTTTGTCTGCTTTTAGTACTGGTAGCAGTGGCATGTTACAGTCACTCTGGGTTTTAACCAGTACTCCTGCTTCTAGTTTTACTGGAACTGTCATAGGTATTAGCTGCGTTTGTCCCGGAAATCCTACTGTCTTTGCATATCTACCTAACATGGGGAGGTGAAAGGCATAATTTGGACATACACATGAGTAAGTTGCTCCAGTATCCATCATCATGGGTGTGCCTCTATCATTCATCTGAACCTGCAGCATAAGTTCTTCATCAGCCTGCATAGTTACTGCCACTAGCTGACCCTCCCCTCTAGGATTCTCTTGGCATCCCTAGTATCCCTGATTTGTTCCTCCCCACGGGTTCACTGGGCCCTGTGGAGCCCGTGTCTGAGACTGCCGCCATGCATCTGAGCTGGTGTCATTTCTTTGCCAATTACCCTGTTGTGGTTGTCTAGGCCACCACGGTTTGGTAGGACAATTCCTTCTTGTATGTCCTGATTGATTGCACCTCCAGCAGACACGTAGAGGTCTTCCTGGTCCACCATTTTGGTATGCCTGCTGCTGTGGTTGGTGCCCTTGATTCCTGGGTCCATTATTTTTGTTTTGCCACTGTCCAGGGGATTGTTGTGTGTACACATTCACTACTGGTATGGCAGGAGCTCTTTGTCCTTGCGGTTGAGGCGGTGGTTGTGAACCTCCCTGGAGAACAGGTGCCATTGCGCCCTCCTCTGGCAGTACTGGAGTAATCACTGGGGCTTGTGTTTTCTTTTTGTCCTTTCTTGTCAGCTCTTCCAGCTGCATTTGTCTCAGTTTTCTGTGAATGTCTCTTCCCTCTCTGTCAGTTTCTGTTCGTCCTTCCTGTATTTCTCCACTGCGTGGATAACATGGTCGCAGAACTCTTTGTGTGACTTTGACGTTAGTCCCACCACATCCTCCAGTCTGCTTCTGACAGGCGTTGGCATTGCCTCCATCAGTGATGTCCTGAATAGTGTTGTCATCAGTGGATCCCCCTCTGGGTCTTTTTCTGATTCTTGTCGCCACCTCTTGAGCTGGTCCTCCAGGTAACCTGCCGGGTTTTCTTTATCCCCCAATGGCTCCCCTCTCAGTGCTTTAGGGTCTGTTTTGGCTGGATACTCTATTCTCAGAGTGTGCCATAGTCCTGACCTAGTTCCTGTGGCTATGTGTATCAAGTCATAGCGCACAAACAAGTAACAATGTTAGCTCCGTTACTGCCCATATCTCCACACAGCTGTGCCCTTGGAAGATAGTAAAAGACAGAATGTACTGAAAAACTGTGGTCACTGAGGCTCTGTCTTAACCATGTGACCAGGTTACTCAGAAGCAACGAGAAATTGAAACAATACAGGTCTATCTGTTCCTCAGTTTATCTCTATCCCATGTCCTTTACTACACACCCAGACCAGCTGCAGGGAGCTAGAGGGGACCCTCCTTATGAAAAGCACAGCATTGGTAGTTAAGAAATGTCTCTACTATTGTTAAGCATATTAATTGTTAACTATTAATATTAAACAAATCAGGTAAATACGTGTATTCCCAATCAACACACAGCTGTATCTCAGCAGAAAACCTCCATGTATATTTATGTGTGTGTGTGCAGTAGCGGTGCTTAGGTAAAGTTTATGGGAAGCCAAGCCAGTAAAAAAGCCATATTACAACCTATGTTGTGAGATTTGTGTTGTTTGCTCTTTAACCCATTTGTTCATACCCCACCGTGATATACAATAAGGCCGTGACAACAGAAAGAGAACAGTCCCACATTGGCGGAATGAATTAAACTACAGATACGTTTGTTTCATCTCAAAACCGGAGAGCAACATCTGTCCGGTGAAGTCCACAAAGCAAATATTGCATGTAACAAACAGTTATATCACCTGTAACATGGTCAAGCAAGTTCATGTTTTCGACAGTTTACTAAACAACTACTGATTTACAGTGCCTTCGGAAAGTATTCAGACCCCTTGACTTTTTCCACATTTTGTTACGTTACAACCCTATTCTAAAATGGATAAAAATATAAAATACCCCATAATGACAAAGGGAAAACAGGTTTTTAGAAATCTTAGCAAATGTATTAAAAATAAAAAACAAAAATACCTTATTTACATAAGTATTAAGACCCTTTGCTATTAGACTCTAAATTGAGCTCAGGTGCAACCTGTTTCCATCCATCATCCTTGTAGATGTTCCTACAACTTGATTGGAGTCCACCAGTGGTAAATTCAATTGATTGGACATGATTTGGAAAGGCACACAACTGTCTATAAATGGTCCCACAGTTGACAGTGCATGTCACAGCAACATCCAAGCCATGAGGTCGAAGGAATTGTCCGTAGAGCTCTGAGACAGGATTGTGTCGAGGCACAGATCTGGGCATTGAAGGTCCCCAAGAAGACAGTGCCCTCCAGCATTCTTAAATGGAAGAAGTTTGGAACCACCAGGACTCTTCCTAGAGCTGGCCGCCCGGCCAAACTGAGCAATCGGGGAAGAAGGGCCTTGGTCAGGGAGGTGACCAAGAACCCGATGGTCACTCTGACAGAGCTCTAGAGTTCCTCTGTGGAGATGGGAGAACATTCCAGAAGGACAAACATCTCTGCAGTACTCCACCAATCAGGCCTTTATGGTAGAGTAGCCAGACGGAAGCCACTCCTCAGTAAAAGGCACATGACAGGCCGCTTGGAGTTTGCCAAAAGGCACCTAAAGACTCTAAGACCATGAGAAACCAGATTATCTGGTCTGATGAAACCAAGATTGAACTCTTTGGCCTGAATGCATCACGTCTGGAGGAAACCTGGCACCATCCCTATGGTGGTGGCAGCATTATGCTGTGGGGATTTTTTGCAACGGCAGGGACTGGGAAACTAGTCAGGATCGAGGGAAAGATGAACAGAGCAAAGTACAGAGAGATCCTTGATTAAAACTTGCTCCAGGGCGCTCAGGACCTCAGACTGGGACGAAGGTTCAGCTTCCAACAGGACAACGACCCTAAGCACACAGCCAAGACAACGCAGGAGTGGCTTTGGGACAAGTCTCTGAATGTCCTTGAGTGGCCCAGCCTGAACCTGATCAAACATCTCTGGAGAGACCTGAAAATAGCTGTGCAGCAAGAGGATCCGCAGAGAAGAATGGGAGAAACTCCCCAAATACAGGTGTGCCAAGCTTGTAGCGTCATACCCAAGAAGACTCGAGACTGTAGTCGCTGCCAAAGGTCCAGGGTCTGAAAACATATGTTAATATGATTTTTCCTGGGGTTTTTAAAATGATAAATTAGCAAACATTTCTAAAAACCTGTTTTTGCTTTGTAATAATGGGGTATTGTGTGTAAATTGATGTGGGGGAGAAAATGCTTGCTAGCCTAACTTACTTGCATGGGCAACAATCAACCAGCAAAGTTAACTAGCTAGTTAACGTGAGCCTACTAGACTACATATTTAACTTCAATCATCTCAGGCCAGTGTCACAATATATGAATTTATGGTTAGATCAGAATCACTGTCATAATCATTGGCCTGTACAGAGAATGAAGTCAAAACCACAAGTCCAAATCCACATCTCCATTAATGGCTTAGGAATAGGCCGATTTAGCAAGCTAGCTACTGCAGGACATCAACACAAGCAGACCAGAAACAGACAAGTTTTTCTGACAATTATTATGTTTAGCTTAGGATGTGATTTGATTATTGTGAAGCCAAATCCAAACTGACCTCTCTTGGGGGGCGATTTGCTGCGCCAGGACATCCCACAGTTGAGCTCAGCTCAACGCTGATTGGCTGATAATTGTATACTTTTTTTATCAAGGGAGGCCAAATGCTTGCTGGCATCAATCGATCAAATGCTACGGCGGCAACATTTCATACTCTTTTGTTCCAGACAGCATCAGATACATGAGCCACACATACTGAGACAGAGGGGGCTCTGTTTCCCTCGCTAGGAGGATTTCACCGGTGAGATTCAGCCACTTGCAAATTGACAGAAAAATATGAAAACACAGAGAGACTAAATATATATATATATTTTTTTAATCAAATATTTGAGGAAGCTTGGCTTCCCTTGGCAACCATGAATACATGCCACTGTGTGTGTGTGTGTGTATGTGTGTGTGTGTGTGTGTGTGTGTACGTATATAGGATCTTAATTTGGTCACCCTGTTGCAGAAGAACTTCCCTGCAATGCACGAAATGTAAAACTTGTAGTGTATCAGAGGTTTAAAAAGGATACTGAAGTTTGTAATTTCCACTTTAACATTTCAAATTTGCATCATTCACATTTCCTGTTGCTGCGGGATTATTTTCCTGCTGTAGCGAACTGGCTCAAATTAAGATCCTACATCTGTGTCCATGCATGTGTGATTAGACCAAAAAATTAATCAATGCTGAAAGTTTCTTTCCCTTTAGGTGGTGAACGTGCTGAATGACCTGTACACGTACTTTGACAATATCATCGACCACCACGATGTTTACAAGGTAGTCCAACAATCTACAGATGTAGGATCTTAATTTGATCACTCTTTTGTTGCTGAGAAAATGCAAACTTGTAGTGTATTTGAGTTTTAAAAGGTTGTCTAAAGTTTGTATTTCCACTTGGAAATTTCAGACTTGATTTCCCCTAATGAAAAATGTATCAATCCCTACAAAAATGTCCATTAATTATAATCCACATATTAATTCACATTTGCTCAAATTAAGATCCTACATCTGTATTGCTTGTTATATTACACTGTATTGATACTGTATTCAATTAACGTTAAATATTTTCTATTGTTGAAATTTTAACAAAAAGACATCTACCTGTATAGCACAGGAGGTTTGTGGCTCCTTAATTGGGGAGAACGGGCTCGTAGTAATGACTGGAGCGGAATTCTGGAATGGTATCAAATACATCAAACACATGGTTTCCATGTGTTTGATGCCATTCCATTGCTCCATTCCGGACATTGTTATGAGCCGTTCTCCCCTCAGCAGCCTCCTGTGATGTATAGATTAGAAATGTACTGTTCAATGTGTGTAATGTTGTATGCATGTTATATGTCTGTTTTTACCTTTTTACCTTGTAAGCCAGAGCGCCGAAGTCTAATTGGCATTTTGTGACAATATAATTATCTTATCTCCTTGATCTGAGTGGGATCGACATCGACTACTGTACCAACAAAATGGATGACCTGTACCATCCTCTTTTTCAGGTGGAGACCATTGGCGATGCATACATGGTGGTATCTGGCCTGCCCATTAGGAACGGGGACGACCATGCCAAGGAGATTGCCCGCATGTCTCTGGCAGTGGTGCGGGGCATGAGACAGTACAACAGTCCACACGTGCCCCAGCAGCAACTCAAAGTCCGCATTGGACTCCACTCAGGTACAAAGCAATCCTTAACTAAGATAAACTGTAGTCTTAAGGACAAGAAACATTATAACGAACATCGGCCGTCCGCAGTAGATCGCCTGCTGGGTTTTGATGAACGGTGGCAATTCATCATGTAGAATCGTTGGGAAATGAACAGGAAACGGCGGCTGATGTTCTGTGGTCAGAGGCGATAGGACGGCCAACCGCTTTTAACCGTTCGTCAACACGGCCTGTTTTGGCCTTTAAAATCTGTCTCTCAGGTCCATGTGTGGCTGGTGTAGTGGGACTGAAGATGCCCCGGTTCTGTTTGTTCGGAGACACAGTTAACACTGCCTCACGGATGGAGTCACATGGCTCACGTAAGCTCACATCACTACTTTCTATACTCTCAAAATGTCTCCCTTCATTCGAAATGTCTTCAATGGAAATATGCAAATCACATACAAATGAAGGCTTTTAGCCGTTAAAGCTGGAGTGCCTTCACTGCCTCGAATGAAATATATATATTTTATTTTATTGCCAAAAGGAATTGTATTTTTTTTATTGCCTTTCATCCAAAGTGCACCCTTCCTAATACTCTGATAATAAACAATGTAAGCTACAGTAAGTAGCACTCCCACTAGCACCAACCATTCTCTTCAGTATTCATTATGTCTCTACTGTTCTCAAAGGTTCTTGAAACCACTGCATTCAGAATTGGTGCGTTAACCAAAATCAAAACATACGACTCCGTGTAGAGGGTCGGCACTCCAAAAAGAGAGTGGTTATTTGATGCTATTTATTCATTTCAGAGGCAACAAGAGTAAAACAAACATGTTGATAGTGTTTACTGTCCTCTTCAGCATTGAAGATCCATGTGAGCAGCTCCACCAAAGCTCTCCTGGACACATTTAGGACGTTCCGCTGTGATCTGAGAGGAGACATCCACATGAAGGTACAGGAGCTCTTTACACACATAAATATCATAGAGGACCACTCTTCACTTACACACCCACAACATCCTGCACTTAGGCCTACCTCTAAACTACCATCTCTGACATCAGCAAAATGAAATTATGGTTTCAAAAACACTTTAATGGGTTGTCTTTTTAGGTTGTGACTTGTGAGCATAAAGACACATTTCCTGTGAGTTAATGGACAGAAAAGTACATCTTATCATACCTTATCTTATATCATTAGTGATATAACCTGGGGATGTGTCCAAGTGAATGGTCATTTTATCCAAAATGGCTTACAGATGTCGCAATGTCCTATCACAGCTGAGGGGAGACAATTCTAAAAACTCTGATGTAATAACCTGATACTAATATGTTTCCCATATAGCTTGGTGAGATGGCTTTAGGTATATGCACTGGTTCAGGTTAACAAAGCATATACAAGTAGACCAATTCCGCTAGGACTTGGCAGATCGTTCTGTAGATAGAGAAGAAGAGAAATCCAAATTAAACAAATGGGTTAAAGCTTTTTGAATGAACCCTATCATCTCTCATTTGTATCTATTAAGGAGGATACACGAAAGCATACCAAGTCTACAACATTCTTGTAAAGTAGCGGCCAGTTTAGTTGACTGGCCACAGCTGGGGCATGGGATAAAAATACGTTTGGCTGCTTTTGACAGCTTTTATATTGAAGGCAATTTCTAAGTTTGTCCACTCTAGACATTTTCCCTCTCTTTGTTTTATTGCAGGGGAAGGGGCTTGTGAGGACATTCTGGCTTTTGGGAGAAGACCAGTGAAAATGTTATGTTTTCTGTAATTTGATTTGGTCTGTCTCTCAGAAGTAAAGAGCAAATAAAAAATAAAAAAATCTAATATATTTGTATGTACTGTAACTTCTTTTCATAATTTTTTTGATGCAATTTGTAGTTTGAGTGCAATGTCAAGGATCACTGAGCAAATGCTTATTCTTTGGAAAACGGATGTAGTATCAAAATATCAAAGCTATCACCATTCCAATTCTTGGATGTTGTGTACTGTACAGTATTTTCTCTACCTTTATGTTTTTGTATGGCTTCTTATTTATTGGTTCACCTTTAAAGAGCCAACTCTATTCACTAGAGGTTTTATATATTTCTACATTATTTTATATATACAGTATTATGTTTTTAAAATCTTATATCTCATTGCATGATCATTTATTTAAAAAAAATATTAAATAATTATTTCACAAATGATTGATGTGTGAGTGTCACGGATTCTGCCGAGGCTGCTCCTCCTCCTTGCTCGGGCAGGCTTCGGCGTTCGTCGTCCCCGGAGTACTAGCTACTGCCGTTCGATGTTATCGGTGTTTGTTTAGTTTTGTCTGTATTGTTTACACCTGTTCGTCATTATGTTTAATTGTTTCCCTTATATTACCCCTGTCTCTCATCAGGACATTGTGTGTGATTGTTTTTCCCTTCACGGTTGTCATTTTAGTGAGCGGGTTATTTCCTCCCTGCGTGGAGTTATTTTCTGTGTTCTTTTGGATCCTTATCGGATTAAAGTACATGTCCGAGAGTTCTGTATCCTGCGCCTGACTTATTTTACCGCATCTCACCGACAGTCGTGACAGTGAGACTCTAGTAGAGTGTAAAATTTCTGGTATGTTATGTGATCCACTACATTTCTCCTGAGTGGTGCAGTGGTCTAAGGCACTGCATCGCAGTGCTAACTGTGCCACTAGAGATCCTGGTTCGAATCCAGGCTCTGTCGCCGCCGGCCACGACCGGGAGACTCATGGGCGGCGCACAATTGGCCCAGCGTCGTCCAGGGTAGGGGAGGGAATGGCCGGCAGGGATGTAGCTCAGTTGATAGAGCATGGTGTTTGCAACGCCAGGGTTGTGGGTTCGATTCCCACGGGGGGCCAGTATAACAAAAATATTTATTCACTAACTGTAAGTCGCTCTGGATAAGAGCGTCTGCTAAATGACTAAAATGTAAATGTAAATGTAATTTCTCACAACATTTCTTTCTTTGTTTATAACCAATTTGGATAGATTACGCAACTAATGGAACACTTTTATTGAGCAGTGATAATGGTAATTTCACTCTGTACCAGAGAGATAAGCTAGTTCAGCTTAGTTCACTTCCTAAAGGGGTGCAGCCTATGTCAGCACATTTTAATGGAAAACATTGTTTATCATTGTTTTGACTCAGTGGCAGATCGTTTAGGAGAGATCAGTCATTAGAAGGACTAAATTAGACTTGACAATAGCAGGCCATTCAGGCCATTGACCAAAAGCACACACACACACACACACACACATACACACTCGTCTCAAGTACCCACCTAGGACCAGCTTGGCCATTAGGGCCATTACTAAAAGCTCTGGAGAGTGCAGTCTTTTAATTATCGCCGTGAAATGGCTTTGAAGATTGGATCTTAATGTTGTTTCAAATTACAGTTGTTGAAATTAACTTCTTTTGATGCAACATTCTTCTCTCTTGGCCTTCGCTGCTGGTTTCAATGCGGCAAAACAAAATGAAGTACTTTGTTCCTGTCCCATGTTATTTTGGTTTCTGTCAACGTGGTTTCATCCGACCTTGCATCACCTTTCAAGACTCATGATTTCCCAGGATACGAGTGACTGACAATAAAATGAGTCAATTTAAAGAAGATCTAGGGGAAATTTAAACAGATCAGCCAGGAGGTTTTGAGCTTGCCAATAGTTAGGGCATGCATACTGGGAAAACAACAATTAGAATTGGCATGCACTGTGAAATGTTCAGTTTTACACTAGATTTGGCTTGGATTTTGGAGAGCAGCCGTTTGCTACATTAATTACTATGGCAAGTTAAGATGATGCCAGCTGCTACGTGACGTCCATAGACCATTTCTAAAGGGGAAATTACTCGTAAACCTTTACTTCCTGGTCCTCCTTCCTGTGATTGCCTTCCCTATAATGGGCTGCTTTCCAAATGGCACCCTATTACCTCAGCCTGTAAATTGTAAGCACTGTATAAGGAATCAAAAGTAGTGCACTATATAGGGAATATAGTGCCATTTGGAACGCAGATATAGTCCTACTGATGCAACTAAACTCCTAAGTCAGTGTTTCCCAAACTCGGTCCTGGGGACCCCAAGGTGTGCAACTTTTGGTTTTTGCTCTAGCTGATAATTAATTAATCAAGCTTTGATTATTTGAATCAGCTGTGTAGTGTTAGAGAAAAAACCAAAACGTGCACCCCTTGGGGTCTCGAGGACCAAGTTTGGGAAACGCTGTCCTAAGTACAGTGAGGGAGGAGGGACAAAAGAGAGACAGATAAAGGTTAAAACCCTTACAAAATTGACTCATAACGGATGGCTTTAAAGGTTGCTCTGCATGCTTGAAGATTGTCCATTGAAAAGGTGGTCCTAGTGTGTCATAGTCTAAGGTTCTTTTATTGATCTAAAATGCCAGGCTTTGTATTTCTTAAAGCACTACGTTCACCCTCAGTGTGACCATTTAAAGGTGGCCTCACTTGGACAGTTTTCTTTCTCTGTTCGTCTAGTGTTGTGGTCTGGTCTGGTCAGGTCTCAAACCTTTATGAAACATTTATCTACAATATTTTTGATAAATGATTTAATAAACATTAGCCTTTATTAAACATTTACCCCCCCTCCACTATGTGTTCTTTGATGTGTGTTCTACAAAATATATACAGTATGTTGTATTATAATAGGGAACATTATTGCACCGACTATTGTTGTTTAGCTATCCTTGAACCAAAACAGGTTTTTAGTCTGTGGAGTTGACATTTCAAACGCATTAGGTGTCAGGTAGTACAGTACATCTAGTGTCCTTCCGAAATGGCACATTATTCCCTACATACCCATAGGGTTCTGGTCAAAAGTAGTGCACTATGTAGGGAATAGGGTGCCATTCGGGACACAACCCTAATAAAACTATTAATAATAAGTACATGGAAGACTTTTAGCGGTTTGGAAATATGTCATGTTTTATATGATTGGACATTATGGAAGTGTATCAGAGGAACGACTGCGGCTTAGTCTGCATGCAGCACTTCCTTTTAATTTAGATACTTTAAAGTACAACAGTGCGTTTTAATACACACAAATGCCTATTTAAAAGCATCCCGACTTCATTAAAGGAACGCAGATGAGGATGAATTAATCCCTAATATACAAACTCATGAATATTAAATTGGTCTCCATAGCAATAGCAGTGAAATAGGCTATTGAAGTATAATTATGCACTGGGCTGAGATGGGTTTAGTGCTCCACTTTAGAAAAGCAATGACTTTTTCTTTGCAATTTTATTGTTGTTGTATTATACCTATATTTTGTCAGTTTCTTATTCTACACTGCTCAAAAAAATAAAGGGAACACTAAAATAACACATCCTAGATCTGAATGAATGAAATAATCTTATTAAATACTTTTGTCTTTACATAGTTGAATGTGCTGACCACAAAATCACACAAAAATTATCAATGGAAATCAAATGTATCAACCCATGGAGGTCTGGATTTGGAGTCACCCTCAAAATTAAAGTGGAAAACCACACTACAGGCTGATCCAACTTTGATGTAATGTCATTAAAACAAGTCAAAATAAGGCTCAGTAGTATGTGTGGCCTCCACGTGCCTGTATGACCTCCCTACAACGCCTGGGCATGCTCCTGATGAGGTGGCGGATGGTCTCCTGAGGGATCTCCTCCCAGACCTGGACTAAAGCATCCGCCAACTCCTGGACAGTCTGTGGTGCAACGTGGCGTTGGTGGATGGAGCGAGACATGATGTCCCAGATGTGCTCAATTGGATTCAGATCTGGGGAACGGGCAGGCCAGTCCATAGCATCAATGCCTTCCTCTTGCAGGAACTGCTGACACACTCCAGCCACATGAGGTCTAGCATTGTCTTGCATTAGGAGGAACCCAGGGCCAACCGCAACAGCATATGGTCTCACAAGGGGTCTGAGGATCTCATCTCGGTACCTAATGGCAGTCAGGCTACC